GATCATTTTGATGTATATGCTACTATGCTTGTCACCATTTGGTTTAGAATATGGTCATGGGAGGTCGTGCGTTATTATTCCATGGTATTAAATTATTGGAAATAGTTGGAGACAAACTTTGTCATATTTGAAGAGGAAGGTTGAGAGTGAGAATCTCTAGAAACTTGGAATTCCATTTGCTTATTCTAGTGCGGATCTTTAGAAACTATGGAAGCTAAAACTAAAGAGGATTAGGCTGACATTAAGAATTATTTGCTTGGTGTCATCAATCATCTGACAAGTGACAACTAGTGAATTGTGATGACATGATGAAGCGAAACTGTGTTTCTGGACGGATTTAATGTTCGTCATTGCTACTAGTCTACTCTCACTTGGGTAGTTGTGTACTGCACAAATTAGCCATTGATGAAATATACACATAGATGTCAGTTGCAGTTCTTGAATAGTCATTTGACTTTAATACATTGCAAGCTGCTTTACTCTCTTGTTCATCGTTTGTTGCCTTTTTCCTTTTGCTCTATAGTCTTTTAAAGGATATCTGCATCGTTAAATTCTCTTAATTGATTTTTTTCTCTTAATAAAAATCTATCGTCTTTTATTCTCTCTCTATCTATATAGCGGAAAATAAAAACTGGAAATCAGTGTTAACTTTAGGATTTTATATTGACCATATATATAATTCATTGTTAGTTGCAGTCACATTATAAATTACTAATCTTTAGGAAGGTGATGTTTGTGTTGAGTTTTAGCTCGTTATTTTATTATAATACCATTGTTTAGATTTGATAAGTGCTAATGCAATTTTAATTAGGCAGTTTATTATGCATTGATATTCAGAATATCCAGCTGAGCATCCAAGACTTATCTGGTTGGTAATTTTATCTTTTGCACTAATTCTTTCTCATTGTGTCTTTTTGTTAGATGACCACGGCTATTGCAATTGAGGATGTTAGAAGGGAGGTAAAAATCTTGAAAGGTCTGGCCGGACATCCCAATCTCATAAAAATTTACGACGCATACGAAGACAACGAAAATGTTTACATTGTGATGGAGTAAGTAGTCTTCATGCTTACTTATACTATGCTTGTCTATGTTGATTCTTAGTATGAAGTCTGATGGTTTGCTGCATTCCTTCATGCCATTTTGAGCTTTGTGAAGGCCTATTAGCTTCATTGGGCTGACATAAAGTCAAAAATATATGTTTGCCTTCTTTGTAAACATCATTGTACCTGAAGGCTAAACATAATCTTGTAATGTCTGCCTTTACTAGAGTCATGCTTGTTAATTGCCATGAGCCCATAAATGATGTTTACTGGTGATGGATGATGTTAATCTGGAGCATTATAATTTTGATGTTCTACCTGCTGAGATTTAGTTTCCCTGCTTTTTCAGGTTGTGTCGAGGAGGGGAGTTGCTGGATAGAATACTTTCAAGGTAATTTTTGTAAACTTCAGATTTTTTGCAGTTTTGAAAATATCATTCTGGTCAGACAAAATACCCAATTGATGATTGTGATCTTACATTGAAGATTTTTTCATCACTTGATTTTGTAGGGGTGGGAAATACACAGAAGAAGATGCCAAGGCTGTGTTAATACAGATCTTAAACGTTGTTTCGTTCTGCCACCTGCAAGGTGTGGTACATCGAGATCTCAAGCCAGAGGTACTGAAAAACAATGTGTGCATTATAATTATTTTCTCTGTTTGCAATCACCAAGAATTCAATAATTCAATAAAGCATTTCACTGCGCGGTAGTGCAGTCAACTGATTCCTTTGCGAGTCATGAATGTTGCTAGATTGAATTGTAAGAACTGTGGCCAAGTTGCCAATTAGTTTCGTGGAACATGATTACCAATGACATCCTATAGCTGTCATGTAAATATCTGCTCTATTGAGACCTGTACTCACAACTATCCTTAATTTTCAAGACTAATGCCTCTGTGTATATCACCACTCACCAGGTCTCTAATCAAATAGTTATATCATGGTCATTCTAACTTCTGTTTGCTGTTGGATCAGAATTTTCTTTTTACATCAAAGGATGAAGATTCATCATTGAAGGCCATTGACTTCGGCTTATCAGATTTTGTGAAGCCGGGTTAGTCATTTAACTTGTGTGTTTTTGCAAATGGATTGATATATGTATATGGTTGAAGTGAACTATCTCTGAATTTTCATGCAAACTTTTCTGCAGATGAAAAGTTAAATGACATTGTGGGCAGTGCATATTATGTTGCACCAGAAGTTCTGCATAGATCTTATACAACAGAGGCTGATGTCTGGAGCGTGGGTGTAATTGCATATATTCTACTTTGTGGAAGCAGACCATACTGGGCTCGTACTGAGTCTGGTATCTTTAGAGCTGTTCTTAAAGCTGATCCAAGTTTTAATGAACCACCATGGCCTTCTTTGTCCCTGGAGGCGAAAGACTTTGTAAAGCGCATGTTAAACAAAGATCCAAGAAAAAGAATAACGGCAGCTCAAGCACTTTGTGAGTAAATCTGCTAGATTTTCGTGGAAGCTATACTTGCTGTTCTATGCTTCTCCTAATTACCTTCTTTTGCAGGCCATCCCTGGCTTAGAAATCAAGGAGAAGTAAAAGTTCCTCTTGATGTACTCGTCTTCAAACTTCTCAAGATTTATATGTGTTCATCTTCTCTTCGCAAAGCTGCCTTGAGGGTGGGTACTACCTAAGTTTTTCCCCCTCTTTTATTAAAAAGCATTGTTATTGAGAGAAATAAGTTGTGTGGTGACACTGGAAGAATACAATTATACACTATATCAGCATGTTCTCTTACCAGTCTTTCCGATCGAATAAAACTTGCAATTTGCCTTCATAATCTCCTAATTGGCTTACTTTTGTCTGCAATTGTTATTTCTTTGACAGGCTCTGTCAAAAACATTGACTGTAGATGAACTGTTTTACTTAAAGGAGCAGTTTGCACTACTGCAACCTAGCAAAAATGGAACCATAAGTTTGGAAAATATTAAAGAGGTAGGTTTTTGTAGAATACAAATGTTTTTTTTTTTTTTCTATTATTGTTTATTTATGACAGAAACAAATGGTTTCTAGTATTAATTGTATATAATATTATAAATCATAATTTTTTCTGTGATCTGGTCAGGCCTTGTTGAAAAATGCAACAGATGCCATGAAGGAGTCTCGTGCTCATGAAATCTTAACCTCTGTAAGTGCTTTTTGGATTTGGTGGATGATACCAGCTAACATCTTCAGTTTCACATTCTGACTACTGTTTGTGTCTCCTCAGTTAACGGCACTTCAGTATAGAAAAATGGATTTTGAGGAATTCTGTGCAGCCGCCTTAAGTGTCTATCAACTTGAAGCTCTTGAAAGATGGGATCAGCATGCTCGTTGTGCCTATGAACTTTTTGAGAAGGATGGTAACAGGCCCATCATGATTGAAGAGCTGGCTTCAGTAAGTCATCTTTCTTTCATTTTTCAGTTGTATGGATTCATTGTCAACTCGTGTATCTTCTTTCAAGGATAGCTGATTGCCTCCCCTTATCAAATGACACATGCTGAATTTGTCTGCTATTTCTTGTCTTTTGTAACCTTGTTTATTTTTACTCCGTCTTATATCTTTATTGTGTTTTGTTTCTTCACTTTGAGGCAAGTATAATAGGCAAATCTGAGTGCCTAGTGTAACATGGTCTTCAGCCTTAATTCGATGTACTTAAGTATAATAAATCAAAGTCCCTTAAATTTGTGTTTATATGATGTTTCAGGAGCTTGGACTGGGACCCAACATACCGGTTCATGCAGTCCTTCATGACTGGATTCGGCATACTGATGGGAAGCTGAGCTTTCTTGGTTTTGTCAAACTGCTTCATGGAGTGTCCTCCAGGACTTTAATTAAACCTCATTAATGGCGTGCAACTATAGGTGATCTTTGTGTCTATCTTTTGTGGTGCTTCGTATTGTCGTGGTTTGTGCCTGTTGGGAGTATCAAGCAATTGCCATCATGACTCGTGCCTGTATCAAGCAATTGCCATCATCCTTGTGCCTGGTGCTCTCGGTCTTGAAACTGATTCCAGATCTTGCCAGAGAATGAAACTTCTGTGCTGAATGAGAAACCTGTGACTGGCTGGACAGCAGAGTTGAGTGTTGATGGCCAGTTCACTACAAAATAGGTTAATTGTTTCTGACCACATAAGGAATGTATACGCCAATTGTTGTTCAAAGCTGGGCAAAAATGTGATTCAATTATCGCAATATATCGTTTAGTTTTAGCCTTTGTGGGCTGGGGATGATGGCTCAGAGGTATATCTGGAATCTGCATTGTTTCAGTGCTCTAATTGTGAATCTAATCCTAGCATCAAAGCTACACAAATCATGTTTTAGGCTGTCAAAAGTTAAATGAAAGAGGGTGCTTTATATATATTTTTTTGCTAATATATTTTTCGCATGTTTCTTTCATTTGAACTGCTTGTTTATAAAGTGCTAGGAATTTACATGTTCTGGTATCATTTTACATCTTCCGATAATATAATCCCCTGTATCTGTGATAATCTCGAAGGCTCGAGCTATCACATTCATAGAATCTTAGTCTAGTATAGTGAATACAAAGCAGGCCTGCCACCTTGCATGCCATTTGCCTAAGCAACCTTATACCAAAATGTAAGTTTCAGTCATCAGATGGAGCTTATGACAAATTATAACAAAAAAAAAAAAAAAATTGAAGTTAAAAAAATTCAAAAATTAATAAGGAACATATCAAAGTAAAAAACATGATAAACCTTTTCTTTTTTGGAAAAATAGTCGTGTTAAACTTTAATAAACTAAATTGGAAAATTTTCTCAATTAAACTCATCAAATGGGAAAAAGAATTATTATGTGGTTAGAGCTTCCTTCCCATTTTCAAGAAATCCTAAAATTGATACAAAAAACGTTATATTAAGAGTGAATCCTTTCTAAAATAAAATTAATGAGATACGACTAAAATTCTCTCATACTTCTTTTAAAAACTTTGGCGTACGATGTTTTCAAATGAGTCCAGTATATAACCTATTCCTTGGCGGGCTAAAGAATTGGGTCCCGCCTGTAAAAATGTAACCTATAAAATCCGCCACTGAAACCGTAGGAGAGAGAAACAACCAAGTGTACTCTTCATTTTTAACCAAACCCCTTTTTATCACCGGAATTCCATTCATTCCGCTCTATTTCCCTCTCTTTCTCTCTCTATATTATCTGCAATGGCAAGCATCAAAGGAAAGAACGTCTTGATTAACCTTTCTTCATCTTCTTCTTCCGACGATAATGGCGACGATGACGACACAGCCTCCGATTCTGCTTCATCTTCTAGGTATAACAATTTTCTTTTCTTTTTTTTTTTTTTGGAAATTGATAAATTATTTGCTGAATTTGAAGATATTTTGTGTGAAATTTTGTTGCTAGCTGTTGATTTTGATTGATTTTTGCTGAAAAATTGGATTAATGAAGAGTTTGAATTTGATTTAGTGGAGATGAATGTGAGTTGATTGATGATGACGGTGATTACGAGATTGAAGATGATGAATCTGAGGAAGATGATTATTCAAAAGATGACTATAATGGAACTGAAGATGATGATCATTCTCTCTCTAATCGCGTCATTCAGTTTCTTCAAGGTTTTTTGTACTATTCTTTTCTGCTATTTTTGGCTTTAAAGTTAGCTTTTTATCTAGTTTATTCGTTGCTGCATTTTAGTGAAAGTTAGCTTTAAACTTGCCTGCACTACTTTCAGATTAATTTTTTTTTTCTTTTCTAAGATGTTTTGATTATTGGAGGATTTTGTGACAAATTGATGATAATTCGTAATTACATATCAGTTCAACAATATATGAAGCTATATATACTTACCTCAGGTATCAGTGTTACTCGTGGTTTATTTCGAGATGCAGAATTATGATTGAGGATCATAAGATACTGGGTTGTGATGAATTTGCGATTCATTTTTGTTATTTTGAGAAGGTTGGCTAGAAGATGAAGGATTAGGCTATCTGCTGATTGATTTTGCTTAGATCGTAGGTTTGCAGATAGTAGTTAGAGGTGAACTGAATCCTATTTAGGCTTGTGGTGAAAGAAATTGAAGCAATAGCTAATGTTCATTTTTTTTCAATTCATCAATTAATTCTTTATGTAACTCTTTTCATTATCATGTTATCTAATTTAGTCTCATATTTTATAATGTTTACAAATTAATTCTATGAAAAATGCATATGATAAGTTTGGCTTTGTGAAATATTTTATACATGTTGATGTTCTCCATAAATTGTGCTTGTGTTTGTGCTCATTGTCACCTTGCAATATTTGAGAAATCAATGAAGAGGCTTTCTTTTACGCTTTGTTTGGATAACAAAGAAGGAAAGAAAGGAAGGGGAGGGAAAAAGGAGGAAGGGAAGGGAAAAGAAAGGGAGGGGGAGGTGAGCTCCATTTTTCCTCCAAATCTCTCCAATTTTGGAGGGATTATGTTTATTAAAGAGAGGGAAAATGGATCCTTCCCTCTCCTTCCCCTTCCTTCCCCCAATCCTTTACCCAAACAAGAGAATTTGTCTCCTTCCCTTTCTCTTATTTTCTTTTCCTTCCATTTCTTTCTATCCAAACAAAGGGCAAAGGAACTTTTCAATGCAGAATTGTAATGTATATTTACTAGATAGTCTTCTTTGGCCAATCAGGAAGACGTGATTTGCAAGAGTTAAGTCTTAAAGCATGCAAAGCATATTTGAGAAGACATGATCTTAGAGTATCAGGAAACAAGGACGAGTGTATTCGTAGGGTGCAAGAGCACCATAGGTCGGTTCTTTTTGTAGTAATTTATTACCTAGGAGTTTTTGCTTTGATGGATTCTCACCTGTTATATAGACTGAGAACTGAAGTTAAACTATTTCATATACAGGATAAAAGATGGGAAAGCTGAAATTCTCTACCCAAGTTCATCCTTTGTCATCAATTGCACAGGTATGATTAATTTTCCCACCAAAATCCCTTTCTTTTTCCTCCAATTGTTCTTGCTACCTACAAAATATATTTCATATTTTAATACTTTTTTTTGGAAATTGGTCTGAGAAGCAGGTGATGTCTGCAAGGGAGACACTGTCCTCTTCAAACAAAAAGTGTATGGAAGGTATCATTCTTATCCTAGTGAAGTTTTTTTTAATTATGTTTTCTTGGGATCCTTTTTTTCGTTTCTGGTGGACAATGCTTCTCCTTTCATGTTTCCGATTTTTATTTGGGGTAGGGGAGGGTGATTATGTAGTTATCATATCTTGCTGAATCTAATTTATTCATAAAGGAAAATCCTTTTCTCACAATTTTGGCTAAAAGAGTCTGTTATAGAAAGTTAGAAACTAGTTGGTTGTGTATTGAATTATTAAATGCTATTTGGCCCCAATTTGAAACAAAATGTAGTGAATTTTACTTCTGATGTGAAAGAATTGTACTCGGTTTTTTTTTTCTTTCTTCTTGTTTCTTGTTTCTTTTTCCACCTTGTGCTCGTGTCTTTATAAAATGGAATTCTCATCCAAAGAAGTTTTGACAAAGTGACAAGACAAGGTAAACTTTTGGGGAAAAGAACAGTTGCTGGACGAGTCGTGAAAGAAAGCTATGGTGCAGCAAAGCAACAGCATACATTCACAGTAAGGCATATCCTTGACATGTATTTCTATTCAGCCTATGTAATGTATAACTCTAAATCAGTAAACTGTAAAGCACAAAATCTACCTGTAAATTCCAGACATGGTTAATCATCTACCACTTGAATGAAGAATGGAGTTAACAGCAGTAGCCTAGATGTATAATGAACTAATGACTATAATCTATAAAGAATTCTTCATTGTTAATGTATGAAGCTTACATTGATTCAAGCTAAAATCTTTTTATCTTCTAGGTTGAGGTACTATGGAGCAAGGGAATAAAGAAACTGCCTCCTCTCTTTCCTTTGCTCGTCAAGGGCCGAAATCTCTATAGATTGAAGACCTGCAGGCAGGTAAATAACAAACCTGTTTTTCTTTGCATATGCTCTAATATTTGTAACTTATTGATCGTCATAAATGACAAAACTTCAAGCCATGGAAGAACGAGGGAGAAAGAAGATTAGTTCTTGCGGAAAAGCATAGGCGAGGGACAGCTGCACGATATAAGAGAGCAAAGAGGAAGAATGCTTTGTCTACTGATAAAGGTTCGAATGATTGAGAGCCCTTCACCCCTTATGCTTGTTTCTGTAGAAATATCTCTAACACGTGTCAATTTCTCCAAAATATGAAGTCTCAAACAAAGCCTATTTAAATGTCTGTTATTAGGAGGGAAATCTCGGAAGGTTTCTCATCGTGGAAGATCTTCTCAGTTGAATTATCCCAAAGGAGACAAACATTTTGGTGCAGAGCAGAGGGCCTCATCTTCAAAAAACCACCATTACACTAATCAGCAGCGTAATGTGAAACAAGGAGCTGTTGTAAACTCTAACAGAGAAAAATTTTCCAAACCCTTCCGGGACCCTCAAAAGCTAGTATCCCGGGACAACAGGGCTTCTACATTGCATTCATTTCATGGTGCTTCTCAAAGTTATTCTGAATCTCTAGTGGGACCTCATAGGAGTTCTCCATTTGGCTTACGTTCTGCAGTTTTCCTGAGTGATATCCCTTATCATGGCGCAAGGGTGATGCCCGCAGCACAAAATGGTGATTTCAGTCATAGCTCCTTTCGTAATTCTTATGACATTCAATTACCACGGGTGAATCATGTGGACTCGAGGCAGTTTTTCCCTTCAGGGGCTACACATGGACAAAGGATGATTGGTCTTGTGAACTGCTCAATTCATGGATGTCATGAACCAGGATCTAATAGTTGTGTCATTTCTGCGTGTTGGAGGTGTTGTCGAAGGGTGGGAATGGTGTGCAATGTCCATAGATGACAACCAATTCTTTGGTGTTCTTTATCCATATGCTTATACCAAATCTCATCCCTGGTTGGTGCTATCTTATGATATTACTATAAACAGAAACTTTGTTTTTGCTGAATTTTTTAATTTTTTTTTTTAATTTTCCTTTCCATAATACCTCTGTTCATGAATAATATTTTCAAAAGACACATTATATTGGGGGTGGGGTGTGAAGAGTGTCTATCTGGGCTTTGTGAAAGAAAAAGGAGTATAAAGAGTTTGCATGAGGGGTAAGGTGGGAGGCTTGCCAAAATAGTAATAAGGTAAAAGTATAACCAAGTTACCAACCAGTAATTTATGAAAATGGAGTGTGTAACAATCATTTAGATACGGAAGCAAAATCTAGCCTCAAATTTTTTTGCCTAGTTTAGAGGGCAATAATTTTTAATCAATAAGTTCCTTAGTTTAGTCTTTGTGTAGAGCATAATGCCTTAATATGATACTCCGTTTAAAATGATTAGTTGTATATTCTTTTATAGCCTGTCAGATAGAAATTGTCTTCTTTCCTAAACTAACTGTGACAGGTTTTCCCAAAATGGGAAGAGAGTGGAAAAAGTCCTACAATCCTACTATTATAGGTCTTTAAAAATTATTGTGTCATATCTATATTTGCGAGGGGTTGGAATTACATGACAAGTTTTTTCAGACGGGTGGCTACTATTTTGTTCCTCCTCTGATTCATGATTAATAAAGGAGAAGAGATATACCAGTAAAGCTAACCGAATCCATTATCCCAGTACTTCCCCTGTCAAAAAAAGTTGTAGCTGGAATTCATGCAGGAAAGCCTGTTTTTTAGCTGTTCAGGTTATATAATGTTTGTGTTCCGTGTTTTAAACTCCTTTTATTACATTGTGGGATTCTTGTTTTTAATCCAGATTCCAACTTTGAGGCCTCATCATCGTTAATAATGTTGCAAGGTGTCCTGTTTTTTTGATATACAGAATAGTATTCACCAAAAATACTAGCACTTGGCCAGCAAATTGGTTTCAAGGTCTGCCATCTTATTGATGATAAATAGGACTGAGCTACTACTGATCTTATTAGTTGGGCAAAGAAAATTGGGTCTAATGTCTAAGGAATAGAAATCATGTATATACTTCATGGAAAGTTATTTTCATATTTTTGTTTGCTGTTATTGCATCTTTTTCTCTCCAAAATAAGAATCTCAACTTAATCCTTTGATTGTATCTCTCTCTACTACAGGTGCTTGTTTATTGTCTAGCCCTATTGTTAAGATGCATGGGAGTTGGACTCTTCATATCTACAGAACTTGTGTCTGAGGATTTACTTATGCGTGGGCCTTTTTGCCAATTTGCTTGATTGCATTCATCGTCAACCTGGTATGTTTTTTGGATTATACTAGCATGACATACTGTTTGCTGTCTTTATGTTATTTCGTTGACAAAATTCAGAAGAACAATGCTAAACTAATCTATATATGGGTATTAGCTGGTATATTATCAATTGTGAAAAGCTTAAGATATTGCCTAAAAAGGGTAGGCGCTATAATTTAGTTATTTTTGTACATGCTGTATTTAGTCATAAGGAGAAAATAGTTCAAGCAGTATCTTTTTTGCAGTTGTTGCTGCTAGGTTATATATTTGTCGGGGTTATAAAGCTTTAGTTGAGCTATTCATATCCTTCTAGAATAGCTACGTTACAGACTTACAGAAAATGGCCCTACAAATGGAAATATGACTAGAGGTGGTTCTCACTGTGCTTGATTCTTACCTCCCATGCAACTTGAATATGGATCTATGAAAAGAAAATCTGAAAAATAGCTGAGGCTCATGCTCTGAGCCTTATAATCGCATGAGATGCTAGTTCCCGAGTTTGACAATTTAGAGTTGGCTTTGCTTGCTCATCCTGTATGTTGCCTGACTATAGTTAACATTTTAAGTAAGAACAACGCTGTTAAAAAGAATCAAGAATTATTGGTGAGCAGACAATTTACATCATCATGTCGTGTCCACAACTTTTTGAGATGTTTCATAATTGGATATTTGATGTGGAAGTGTTGGACATTGGACAAGGCTGGAAACAGAGAACTTGAATTCGTTGCAGTATGCACATGATAGGGCTAAGTCCCCACTAAATGACGGCCTTGGACCTTTCATAGAAATATCACTGTCTGACTCATTTCTAAACTTCCCTTTTGACCGGACTACATGGTACCTTAACCTCCATCCATTCACTTTCCAATAACAACAATTCAACCTTCTGAATGTTACTGGAGTGAATTTTCTTGTCAGTTATAGGAAAGAAATTTGTGGGGCCGTTAAGATTCAATTAGGCTACAATAAGTTTGTGTCCTCAATTACAACACGAAGTCTCTTTATCTTCCATGCAACTCTTGCCCCCATTGTATGCTCCATTTTCACTCTTTGTTCCACTGTTTAAGCTAGATCCTTATTTTTAGGGCCAATATAGACTTTACTAGATTCGCCTTCTCAATTATTATAGTTGCCTAAGGCTTTAACGTGGCATTTTAACACATAATGATTCAGAAAGCACTTGCCGATGCCAACGACCTAGGGGTAAAGTAGGGAAGAAAAACTTACTTCCAACCAGTTTAGTTTGTAGTTAACCAAAGGTCTCTTAGTCTATTGGCAGTATGTTCCCTCCTTAGACTCGGCCCAAGTCATCAACATTCGTTGCCAAGAGAAGTGTTGGGTATGCAACAAATTTAAGTCTGGTTTTCAACCTCTTGTTTGGGATAGAATTTCTAGCATCAGCTGTTTAGGGCTAAGGTGCATACGACGGGATAAGGGATGTGCTTCTTTACAATAATATGTATGTATTCCCTCCGTCCCATATTATAGTTCATGTTTCTATTTTTGGATAGTATGTAAAGACTATTATACCCTCATTTTTTAACTTTATTCATTATATTTATTCAATTACCCTTGAATTTTCCACTTGTCTTGTACTTTTTTTCACTTTCTCTCTCTAACTTTTGTCTATAATTGTACATTTTACCTTTTTTATGTACTTCATTCACTTTTTCCTCTCTAACTTTTGTCTATAATTGTACTCTTCACTTTTTTTTTATGTACTTCATCCACTTTCTCCTCTCATTTTTTAATACCGTGAAAAAACACAGACAAGAACTATATATTGGGACGGAGGGAGTAGTAATTAGTTTGTTATTCACAATCACTAGGAAACTAGGTTACACCACTTGGATATATAATCAAGAAAAATGTTCACATATCAACATGTAGAAACTATAATTAATTGTGCATATTGGACATGCATACAAAATCTTCCACCAAAGAAGAGAGCTAAAACATATACATACAGTTTAAAGATATAAATATTAATCAAAGCATTTCTTATCCATCCACGTTTGTCACCATGGTTTCAACTCAAGATTTGGCATTATGCAGATTTTAGATATTACTCCTTTTTGTTTAGCTTCCCCAAATCAACACAATGCCAAACTATGATTTGAACCTTAATGGTTGCCAGATGACTAATTAATTGATGACAAAAAAGTCCTAGTTTCCCCTTTTGCTGGATCAAATACCTGAGACTCCGTCTATCCCTTGTGGCGAAAAAGTAAACACTGTATGGACGTAAAAATTGGGTAGAACATACTAGCTGCATGACTGGTGCAAGGACTGGTTTGGTGCTAGAAGAACCTAAATGTAGTTGAGGGACGAAGGTCAATCTCTTGTGTCCAAGCTGAACGATCTTGTAGATGCAAGTGCCAATAGGTTTGAGCTAGAGCATCGGGGTCCATCAAGCCGTCTGCTGCCACTCCTACTCCACTTTGTTGCTCCCCTACATTTGTTCTCTGCAATATACTTGGTACCCTGCATAATTTTCCACCATTCAATTAATCTATCGAATCTATAGATCCATCAATGAGATTCAACTAGTGAACTGATGTTCCCTAATTTGTTGTATAGATTATGCTGCCTCAGATTAACACTCAAATTCATATGATTTGCATTGTTTCTGCTGAACACACACCCTTAAAATATACGTCTTTACCTTTTGGATTAATCTACATGTTTTATTAAACACTGTAAATTTTGTCTTGAGTCAACAAAATACTAATTGAAAAATATTGGCCTAAGCTTGCGATATTATATTTTGAGTTTTGCTATTGGGGAATTAAATGAAATATTTTAAAGTGTGAGACTTGACGATTTTCTTCATCTTGCATCCCTTTGGTTTTTTTGGCTGTGTTTGATTCTGAAGAAAACATTTTGATTTGAATTTTAGTTTCACTGGAAACCAGCTTTCATTCTCTTTGTTTAGTTCACTGCTAGCAAAGTTAGGGGGGGGGGGGAGAGAGAGGAGAAGAGAGGACAGGAAGTTAGAATGGGATGGAGAGAAAAACTGGCCATTCTTACCATAAAATGCCCTTAATCAACGAAAAATCTAATAATCTAAAAACAGGTTGATATATCCGGGGATGACATGCCCTTAATATGTTAAATCCACCATAAAATATTACCAAAAATAACCGAGACTGGAGTGAAAGTCTGAACTTGAGATCCTATTGAAATGGATGAAGTGTGAGGGGTACAAGTCGCACTACTTACCTTGGTGCTCCGACCAAGCCATCAATAATAACATGAGCAACATGTATTCCCAGTGACTGAAATTCCCTTGCCAGACATTGTGATAATCCTCTTAACGCAAATTTCCCACAACCTTTATTTAAACAAAAAAATTCATGGAACATTTATGAACTATACATGTAATTTAATATCTTAATTAGTAATTGTATCAAATATTCCAAATCTTAATTAGCAAGGATTTATTATAATACATACATAATTCTGAGAAGCCAGACATGCCATTGAGAGAAGCTGAACATCCTGTGAAGAGTATTGTCCCTCTTCCTCTCTCCACCATACCCGGAAGAATCTAACCCATGACAGCAAGTAGTTTCCATTAATCTTCACATCTATTTAAAACCTAGAGAGAGAGAGGGAGCGAGAGGAAGGAGGAGATTTGAATCAAGTTTTTGTGAGGATTACCTGCTGAGCACAATGGAAGGCACCAACAGATGAAACTGCGAGGGATTTTTCAAAAGAATTGACTGGAATTTCAGTGAAATTGGCTGGATGCAAAGGAAGGGGTTGGTATGCAGCATTGTAGACCAACACTTCAACGTATCCAAGAGAGAGAACCCCTTCAAAAGCTTCACTAATGCTTCTTGTATCCGAGCAGTCAATTCTTATTGCAAAGACTTGAGCTTTCTCTTCCCTTGCTATCTCTTCTGCAATTCTCGATAGCCTCCCTGGGCCAAAACCACAGAAAACAATAATTTCTGAAGATTTATTAGGAGAAACCTGAAAGAAGTACAAGAAGCAAAAGATTGAATGAAAGAGGACAGGATATATAATAATAATTGAAATTAAATAGGTTGCCTGCCTAAATCCCTGGAGAGGATGGCAACTGTGTAGCCTTCATGAGCAAACTTTCGGGCAATGGATCTTCCAAGTTTCGGTCCTACTCCAACAATGGCAGCAATGCCTTTGGAGTTTGTGGAGGAGAAACTGCTTGAGTTTGGCATCTCCCTTTCTGCCAAATTATCTGCCCTAAGAACTGTTAAGGAATGAAGCTAGGAAAGTTTGGGGAGAGGAGTGAGGGGAAGAGGAGGTTATTACTTGTAGCAAAAACTAGCATTATTACCCTTCCATTTTGTATCAAATTCTTGTTTGACTTTCTCTGATCAATAATTTTTTATTAATTAATGTTTGAAAAGTATAATAATAATTGTATTTGTTTTGAAAAGCACTTTAATAAAAAGATAAATAAATAATTATCAGAATTACAACAGTAAGAGCTCTATGTTAGACATAGCAAAAGTAAATTATAAATTTTATTATTGAATGAAGGAAGTAATATCTAGAAGATACGATGAAGAAGACATGTAGAACCCAACTGAAGTTGTTTGTCGGTGTTATAGCTTGCCTCCTCCAGAAAGACTAGTTAGCACTGCAATAATTTCCTGTAGTTTTGGAGATGACGTATATGCTTAATCTTCTTGCAGTTCCGATGTACTGAATGGCAGCTCTATTTTTTTCCTTCTTCTCAAAACCCCAGATTTATTCTGTTGACATGAGATCCATATTCTTTTGGTGGAATTATCATTTTTTGGTCAGCTAAATATTGATACTCCCACCTCTTACCAGTTACCAAGCTGCCTAGTTATGGTGGTGAATTGTCATAGGTGGCCCCTCTCTTTAGTGTTTGATAAAGATAAGCCATTTTTTTACTTTTTATCAGCTTATTTGGTCCAAAAAGGGAAAAGAAAAAAAAAAAAAAACATATAATTCCATTGTTTTTCTTGGTCTTTGTGTACATGATGAGTACATTAAATGATTGGTCCGTTATTTATACACGTCAGGATCCATACAACAAATCCAAATTATGGTAGTGTTTTGTTGTATAGTAATTTTGGTGGAAAATCATTTTCAGCACACCCCACTTATAGGAACTTCCATGTTAAGCTCGTTTTTATTTAGTTTTTACCTTGTTTTTGACATTGAACTCTAGGGGTGACAGGGTCCAATATACAGCATAATCAGAATTCAGAAATTAGAATCAGTAAATATTTCTTTCTCTAGAGATTTCGATGCCTTTTCACCCTTTTAACCATGTCTAAAAGCCGGTGTGGACCCTACATTAGAGGCTTGGAATAACATAACTGGGGTGCATACAACATTGTACTCCAGATAGATGGTGATGAAGTGTTCTTCTCACCATACCTGTATCCTATAGCTAGTATTGCCACTAAGGCAAGTTGTAAATTGGATATTAAAAGTTTCTTATTTTGTCTACTTGACTGCCATATCAGGTCAATAAAATCATTACGATATGATATGCTTCTGGCAGCATTGAACTAGTTGTACCAGATCTATTTTTTAGGGATGGTACAAAGTGTAAACTCATCACAACATTTATGTTATATTAGAGGGTCGAGCAGCCGAGAGTATCAAGAAACTTCTTAAATTTTATTGAACTTTTAGCTGCATATAGAATGCTAGGAACTAACATGTAAAAGCCACAACATAGTGGAATATAGCATTTGGAGTCAGTAAAGCGGCAAATTGAACGCTAGCATCATGCCAATTGCTAATCTCGAGCTACACGGGCTTGATGTTGTTCCTCATATGCCTAGCTACACAATACCAGCCTTGAGATAGATGATCACTTGAAAAAACCAACCAGTCAATCATTTGAGTCATTTCATTTTCACTGAAATGATGTGTACAGTGTACACTATCTTAAGGGTTTCTAAACCATTCTCAGGTGCTTGTTTTGTTGATAAGGGTATTAAATTCCTTTAAGAATCCGTTACCAGACAATCACTTAGGCTTCCGTTTGTTTTTGTTGGAAAATGATTTTTCTTCATTTCTCCGTTTTGTTGAAAGATGGAAAATGATTCCATAGGTGGAAAGTTACTTTTTGTGAAGAAAATATGCTAGAGTGTTCTCTTTACTCTTCACTTCTTTAGTTTCATATGTTTTCCTATAATCAAACAAGTAACCGAAAACCCTTTTCACAGTCATGTTTTTCTCTAGAAAATAATTTTTTTTTTTTTTTTCTTGAGGAAAAGTGTTCAAATCAAAACAAATGGAGAATGAGTATTAAGAAAAATTCACTTTAATAATCCCAACTAATAATCCAACTAAGATTTAATTATTATCTAATAATCCCAACTATAGGGTCAGCTTGCCTCCAATGACCTCGGATGACCGGTAGCCTGATAAGTAGGTTATCGAAATGTGTCGCATTTCTATTGGTTTAGAATTTCTATTGGTCTAGAAAAAAACAGGAAAAAAAACCCCTCTTCCTAGCCACCCTCCGCCCCCCTTCCCCTCCCCACCCTCGATTTCTTCCTCTCCCTTCTTCTTCCCCTGATTTCGGCCCCATTCCCTTCCCCCACCTTCAAATCCGACCCCATCCATTCCCTTACCCTCGAAATGAAGGGGTTTCAGATGGGAGAAAGGGTTTTGCAAGGGCAAGAGGTGGGAGGGGGGTGGTTTCGCGAGGGGACAAGGTGGGATGGCGGTGGTTTTGCAAGGGCAAGGGGTGGGTTAAAGGCGGTTTCGAGGGTGGGGGAAGGGAGGGGGCAATTTTGGGGATGGAGCTAGGGAAGGGGGTTGTTTTCGATGGGATGGAAGGGGAAAGGGGAAGTTTTCGACGAGGTGATGGAGGATTCCGGCTGGGCTAGGGGGAGGGGTGGCCGGTAGGGAGGAGAGGAATTTTTGTATTTTTTTTTTTTGAACTACTCACGTGATGCCACGTGTCAAAGTAACATGTTATATCTAGTTGATGACCGGTTTGGACTACTAGTGGTAAATTGATCCCATTATTAAGATTATTATATAATAAACCTAATCGCCCATAATTGAGATTATTAAAATGTATTTTTTCTAAGTATTAAATTACAAAGTACGAGTTTTGTTTGGTTTTCCAAACGAAGAGGAATGATTTGTAGTTAGTGGGAAGCAAATAATTAATTAGGTTATGGCATTAAATTTAAAGATTAAGCAAATAGCGAAGGAAGGCATGAGATGGACCATGGATATACATGCGCTGACCAATGAGAACTACTTTGGGGTCATTCTGTCAAGAAGAGCGGAAGATCTAAGATTGTTGCTCTTCCCTTTTATCTGGTCCCATACTCCAATCATTGGTTAATTGAACAAGTGTATGTGTCAATTTGCCAAATTGCCAGCTAAAAGATCATATCCCCTTCACTCTCACATTAGTGTAGCATATTTTTTTGGGACCCTTTGATTTAATGCTAATTGGAATTGCTGGAATTATATTTTTACTATTAGTTTGGTCCTGCACTTTTGCATATGCGGAGCCAGCGGAGGTTACTTAGTTATAAATTGATAATTACTTTGAATAGGAAAATTTTGCTTATGGTTATACTCCGTATGCAACAAGTTGATTTTTCATTACTCGATTTACGTGTCTTCTTTTGACAGTAAACAATTAGTATGGAGTACATATTAATAACAAATATTACGTAGTATCTAAGTTTTTTACTAATAATATTAGAAATATTAGTGATTAAAGTTGTGCACTAGCAAATGTGTCCGTCAAATTATTACATATAATTTGAAAAGAATGGAGTATTTGTAAGACAAAATTGGCAATTGTATTTGTTTTGTACAATCAATCATGATGACTATGGAAGCTTTGTATAAATCCTAGAGATATAAGAATGAATACAATATACTTTGTACTTTGTATTACTTAAGAGGTTCTTTTTGCACGCAGTTACCATCATAATCGTGATTATGAAAGTTTAAGGGATTGGTTGTGCAATTACTTCTTGATATAATCTTTATCTTTCATAGTTTTCATTAATTTATTACATGATAATTTTGATTGGAAAAAAGAAATCAGATCTTAAAAAAATTTATGGCTCAAAATTTCGCCTTGTAGGGTTAGCTTTGGTTTCGTCGGTCACTTAGAATTTAATATTGTAATTATTGATTGGCCTTTTGCGATGGACCAATTTGTACATTTCTCACGGATGCTGTTTGTAGAATTGCTGTTGGCCACTGCTGCTTTAGCAAAGCCAAGCGACTAATCCCAAGAGTTGGTAACTGATATTGGCGGAAATTGGTAAATAGTACACTTCTTTTCTTTTCTTTTTTATTTATAAAAAAAAAAATGAGATTAGGGTAACCATTTTTTTTAATGTTCAAAATGCTTGTTTCCATGTTATTGGATGTCTGGGGAATTTTGAGGACCTATTGAAAAATGTCCTAGATCACTAGATATTATTCCCTAAAGCTTTGAACTTTTTTTTTTTTTTTTTTTTTTTAAACAGTAAACTACGGGGAGGGCTTCCCAACCTATCACAGGAATGGGGGTTATGTGGAATTGAACCCCATCACTTGGGGAGGAGATGTATCCCTCCATCTCCTCATTCCTCAGCTTTGAACCTCTGATACACAATTTTTAGAAGACAACAATACTTCCTCTATATTAGATAGATTTCCCCTTGAAAATAGACGTTATATTTAATGGAATTCAATTCATCAATATAATTTGTATTTTATGTTAATATTTCTAGTCGGTAAATTACTCACTACTAGTATTTTTATTTCCTCATTAAATACTTTTTCCTTTATCCCTATATTGCACCATGAGAGGCGCATCCCAATACAGATTTCTAATCTTAATATAAAGGTAAAAGATTATAAGATTTAATACCATCAAATTCAAAGAAATAAAATGTATGAATAGTATAAAAGTGCAAATTGTGCTATATATTTAACAAATGGAAGAAGTAATAAAGTGGGTAAATATTTGGTCTTCTAATTTACCAATCAAAAAAGAGCCCCAAGAGTATGCTCAATCGATAAAAAGGGTGTACTCGTAATGAATAGGAGGAAATTCCCTCGAAAATTTACAGGTGTCCAATCCCTTATACCTCCTTAGTTAAGAAGATTACTGTGTAAAGAATAAAGACATAAAAGTTGTTTCTTTATAAGAGCAAAGTAAATTAAGCACTGATAGTAAATAGTGCAAGCATTTGGTATTATTATTATAAGAAGAATTGCAACTTGTCTAGTTGCTTACATACTGATTGTATTATTCATGGCTTTGAATATAGAAATAAAATCTATGACCTAAATATAGCATTTTCTTGAGAACCAGACGATTTACATATTACTATTTATATTTTGTCTTATCAAATTGTTCTACACAACTTGCGCAAGTGCCAATGACTAGCAATCTTCTATATGCCATATCTTTCGGTTTTTCCTTTTAATCAACTTGATCATACTGGTCCTTCATCTATAGTCACTTGCTCTATCACCCTTGCCATAATTGATCAGGAATACAATATATGGGTGTGCGTTTTATATATTTTTCTATTGTTTTTGTTTTAAATTAGATTCATTGTATTACAAATTTTCATCATAATATTTCAGCTACTGTTTTATTTATCTCGACATTTCTAATTTTATTCTATTTTTAATGTTTTGTTTGTACATATTTTAATATTTAACTTCTAATTATTGGGATGTCAAATATAAATGTACAAGTTTTATTTAATTGATATGTAGTACTTCGTATAAGAGAGAATTTACTCTGCATTACAGTATTTCACAATTTTCGGACTCAAGTTAAATTTTAATCGAAATTTATAAAAAATTAATCCAGCTTGTTTGCCCTAATGAAGTCACATTTATCCAGTGGATCAGGAAGCAAATACAATTGCGTAGTTATCAAAACTACGAGTTAGTCTTTTCTTTTTTTTGACACAAAGTTAGTCTTTTCACCCTTACTTATTTTCCCTGTTTCTTATTCACTCCAGTAAATATGGTATATACATTA